CGCTGGCGAGTTTGACTACGAATGGGCCAATCAAAGTCTCACCGCAGCAGCGGCGGGGGAGAGCGCGCTGGAGGCACCGCCTGGCCTGTCGACGTCTCGTATGGAAACTGCGGAGCAGACGTCTGAATTGATGAGAACGTATTCGTCGATCGCTGAGGAGTTGCGCAGCTGGGGCGACATCGCGGGGGCCACGTTCATGGAGACGCAATTACGGAAAGAACGGAGGCGAGTGCGTGAAGTGTCGAAGGAAGATCCTGGGGTTCAGCGAGCCCTCGCAGCATACGAGGACGCCCGCGAGGCGACGCTCAGAAACGAGAAACGACAGCGGGATGTCGAGGCGCGGCGCAGAGAAGAGCTAACCCGCCTGGGGGACGACGTAAAGAAAGCGCGCAAGCTGCTGAGGACACAGCAAGCCAAACTCTTAGACGCAGAGGCAGCCATAGATATCAAACACAGGATGAAGCATGTCGGGTTATCCGAGCTGGGCGCGGGCCTTCGCAGCTGCGGAGGCGTGGCGGGTCGAACGTCGAGGTGCGACGCGCTGAATCGCCTTGCGATTTGGGGTTCTGGGCTTTCTGCAGCTCAGCGGTCAGATTTTGATTGGTTTCGGCGGGAATGGGGCGCCGCTGGCATGGAGGACTTCGGTGGAAAGTGGCCGGAGACGTTTGCCACATGGTTGCAGAACGTCATAGACGAGTACTTGGGGGGCAACCCGAGAGCTTTCAGCATGTTTGTGCACAGTGAGACGCGACGCCGTCTGTCTGGCTCCCTGGCGCTTGCGCCCCCTGCAGCTGGGGGCCTCTGAGAGGCGCGGCCCGCCGCAGCAGCGGCGAGGCGCGGGGTGTGAGTTCGGGCAGCAGCCACTGCTCTCCCACCTGTCTGCGACTGAGGTGCCGCGTGCGCGCGCGGACGTAGCGCAGGCCTTGCGCAGAAGAAACAGGGGGGGGGGGGGACGGGGGGGGAGGTGAGAGGAGGGGGAGAGCAGGCAGGGGGAGAAAACCACGCGGGTGTCGATCACTCCGCCCCTCCTCCTGCTCTCCCCCCTCCTTCTCCCTGATCTCTCCTGGTCATTATATCATTCCTCTCTCTATCCCTCTCTCTCTCTCTCTCGTTATCGTCGTCCGTCTCTCTCTCTCTCTCTCTCTCTCTCTCTCTCTCTCTCTCTCTCTCTCTCTCTCTCTCTCTCTCTCACTATCTCCCTGTCTCTCCCTCTCTCTCTCTCTCTCTCCCTCTCTCTCTGCCCGCCCTTTCCTTCCCTATCCGCCCCGTCTTCCTCCTCTTCGCCCCGTCCCCCTCCTTCCACCGCCGTTTCGGCCCCGGGAGTTCGGCTGTGACGGCCGCCCCCCCTGCAACGCGGGGGCAGGGAGCGATGGCCGCGGCCACCAGCAGCAGCAGCAGCCCATTGGGCCCCGCAGCAGCGGGGCCTCGGGGCCGACTGACGGCAGTGTTCACAGCGAAATCTGGGAAGGTTTGGCGACCTGTAGGTGGTCAGGCAGAACCCTGGAAGGGTCCTTGGGCCCTTGTGCCAGAGGGCACCCCCGCAGCAGCGGGGGCTGCGCCGCCTGGCGTCTCAAGCTCAGCAGCGGCGGCGCGATCAGAAGTTTCTACGATGCGCACCCGCCCAGGCGACTCCGTGGTGGATCCGAGCGATGACGAAGAGCCTCAGGAATTTAGGGGCTGCAGGCCGCCCAGCGACGTCGAGCGGCGCGAATGCGTTCTTCGCGACACCGTCCCGCCAAAATTCTTCTGCGAAAGAAGAGCGGCTGACGTGAACAGGCCACGGAACGACAACGTGGGCAACCTTTCCGTCCTGTTCGGGAACTGGGGTTCCATGCCGAGCGAGACCAACCACGCGGACCAGCGGCGGAGACTTGAGTTGCAGCTGCGGCATTGCCCTGCTCTCGTGGCGTGCTTTGCGGAATGTGAGGAGCAGATGGAGTCAATCCTACAGCGGCCAGGGAGACCACCGCCGCTGCAGGCGGACGCCCCCGCAGCAGCGGGTGCGTCAGCAGCGGAGGGCCAAAGCAGCAGCAGCGGTGGGCCTTTTGTCGCCCCCGCAGCAGCGATGGCGACAGCAAGAGGAAGTCGTGCTGCGAGTGTTGGCGATTGCCAACAGCTCCAGAATCGACCAGAGTACGAATACTTGACCCTGCGCGGGCGTGAGGACAAGTCCTTGTGCATCGCTGCGCGCGCAAATCTGTGTTACGAAATGCGGCTGCTCCACTGGGAAAGGAGTGTCGACGGCCACTACATAACAGCAAGAGGGCGCAAGATGGAAGCGTTCTCGAGGATTATGGTGGTTGAGCTCTACTTCGATCAAACCTACGCCCACTTCGGCTCGAAAGTGCGGGCGCGCGCGGTGCACCTCCACCGCGACACGGCGAAACATTCCAGAGGCTTCAACGAGGCTCACAAGACGTGGCGGCCGAGGTTGGCGGCCATCTTGCAGGACAACAGCGTTGACATCCTTTGTGGGGATTTCAACATGGCGCTCGCACAGACGCTGCCGAGTCTTCGGGGTCTAGGCATGCGATTGGAGACGGCAGCAGCGTACTTCTGGCGCGGATTGGACGGCACTCCGTGCTTGGACAGCTGCGGCATCTTCGTTCTCAACAGGCCTGGCGAGTACACCCTGTGCTGGCCGCTGAGCGCCGTGCACGACAGAGACGAGGCGGGGTTGCTCTTCGCACGCAAGTCGGTGATCGGTGAGATCGGGTACCGTAACAGAAGCAAGGCAGAGGCCCCCGCAGCAGCGGGGGCCTCCACCAGCCCATCATCGCAGCCGACGTACTGGCACCACAGCCAGAACGGAGGCCCTGGGATGCCTTACTCTTGCTACTACCCGAAAAAAGACGCCCGCGAGCACCTCCAGGATTTACTGACTCAGTCAGAGGAATGCCAACGCAAGATCCAAGAGAAGGAGCGTGAGAAACTGAGGCGCGCCGAGGCTGAGGCTAGAGGGGGCCACCGCTTCTCTAGTAATCGCGAGGTGACCCTCTTCCGCGCGTTGCAGAAGACGTTCCCGCCAGAGACCGTGGAGGTGGAGGGGCGCTGGCACGGCGGCGCCCACTACCCTCTCCTGTTCCAAATGCGCATGGCCAGCGTGCGTTCGCAGGGGAGGAAGCAGGAGAGAGCCAAAGAGAAGAAGGACAGGCGCGCCCAGAAACAGCTGGCAGCTGCGCTCAGGGCGCCGCTGCCGCCCGAGCAGCACGGACCCGAGCGCCAGGCACCAGAGCAGCACAGCGAGAGGGACGAGCAAGACGAGCGCGCCCAACAGGCGTGGCGCCCACCAAGATGGGCATACGAAACCGCGGACGACGGCCGCGACATGCCCGCGGCTGGCGATGGAAGGTCGCGGCGGGGGGTTGAAAGGGGGAGGGGGGGAGAGGGGCGGTGGAGCACGGGGGGGGCAGGAGGGGGGAGAGGGAATGAGGAATAGGCTGAGCAGGACGAGGGATGACATAAGGAAATGAGCGTCGGGAAGGGGCGGGAGTTGACAGGGATGGGATATAGAAATAATTATTTATCACCCCCAAGGTGGCAGCCGACCCCGCAGTGCCCATCTCCAGGGCCTGCGCCGCTGGAGCAGCGAGGGCAGCGCGGCGCCGCCATCTACATCTCGGACGCGATCGCTGCCCTCGGCCACGAGCCGCCAGAGCCCCCGCAGCAGCGGAGGCCACAAACGCCACGGCAGCAACCAACAGACGAGGAGTGGCGCAGGGATGAGTGGTGGCGCACCAAGGAGGGCGAGGAGCGCGAGTGGCAACAGCCGAGCGGCGAGGCTTCCTCGCTGCAGGACCGCATGGTCGACTCCGCCTGGCGCGACATGCAAGTTGCATTCGGCAGCGACCAACGCCCCAGTGACTGGTGGAGCAGCCACAGTGGGTGGAGTAGCGGCCAGGGGCACTGGGAGGTCGCGACCACGACTTGGAGGTGGGTCGAACCCCCCCCGAAACCAATCCCTGGGAAAAACTTAGCTGAACCATCGCACAGGAGCCGCCCCTCCGCAGCAGCGGAGGGAGGCCTCATCGGCCGAACGTCGACCCTCCGCAGCAGCGGAGGCCTTGCCAATGCATCGTGAGCGGCGGCGACTCGCGCGCGCCGTCGTGCTCGGCGACCGCTGCCCGAGCGGAGAAGGAAAAAGAAACGGTGCTTTCATCGGTGCTGTCGTTGCCTCCTCTCCTTCATCGTTTTCTTCTCCCTCCCCCTCCAATCCCCCATCCCGCTATCACATTTTATCGTCTCCAATCGTATCGGGAGCTCCCGTGGCAGAAGAGCACCCAGAACGAGGTCCTCCGTGACAGAGGGGGGGGGGGGCATCTCAGACCCCCTCTGTGACAGAGGGGGGGCATATTCAGACCCCCTCTGTGACAGAGGGGGGGCCAAAAAACAAATGATCACTTTAATGCGGCTTATGGATTACCAAAACGTTGCTCTCGGGGTTCCAACGCCATGGATCAACCTGACTGCTGCGTCTTGACGATCGTGAATCGTGTCAGAACGCCATTTCTGGGACTTCCACACCGCGAATCAAAATAACTGCTGCGCCCTCATTATCCTAAACCCTTCCAAAAGACAAGTTCTGGTGCGTAAATCTGGGAATCCGTGACGCTCGGCGCTAAGGCGAGGGCCACATAAAGGAACCGCCCTCAATCCGCGAAACTCTTGCATATTAAAACAAGAACACGCGCGGCGCTATGGCGGGAGCCACAGTTTGAAAACGACCCGCCCTCAAGCCGTGAAACTCTTGCAACGTTGTAAAAACAAATGTACGCGGCGCTGGGGCGAGAACCACATTTTGAAAAGGATCCGCACTCAATCCGTGAGGAGGAGGAGGAGGAGGAGGAGGAGGAGGAGGGGGAGGAGAGGGAGGGGGAGGAGGAGGAGGAGGAGGAGGAGGAGGAGGAGGAGGAGAGACGTGCAGGAGGAGGAGGAGGAGGAGGAGGAGGAGGAGGAGAGCACGGTCGGGGCTGCCCCCCCGCGAGCGGCGGGGTTGGCAGGACATGGTCGCCCTCCGCGCGCTGCGCGAGTGGCACGCGAGCGACCCCAGCCTGCTGCACGGCTCCTCGGGGGATCGGGGGCAACGATAGGGGGGAATGCGCATAAGGGATAGGCATAAGGGGGATGGATCGGCATAGGAGGATATAGGGATAGGGGGCAAGGTTAAAGGGGGGATAGCCATAGGCGGGTAGGCATAGGAGGATAGAGGGATAGGCTCAGGAGGATAAGCATAGAAAGAGACAGGCGTAAGAGGGGGATAGGCATAGGAGGATAGAGGGCTACGTGGCAACGACACGGGGGGATAGGCATAGGGGGGTAGGGGGGTAGGCACAATTTGAGAGGGGAGGATGCATTCGCATCGACATCGAATGGTTGATGCATCGACGAGGCATGACGGTATCAGGGCACGCTGTCCAACGGCACATTTGGGCGATGCATCGACAGTGTATAGACGACACGAGAGGCGGTCTGCACCGGCGATGCATCGACGATGCATGCGAAACATCGGCCAGTCGAAGTCGGCATCCCCCCTCTGCCAATCCCCCCCACATGGTTTGAAAGGAGGCCGTCCGGGGCCCTCTTTGGCTGCCTTGGGGCCCCTCTCGGGGACGTCGTGGGCCGTCCTGGGGCCATCTTGGAGGCCTCTGTCAGGAGGGAAAAAAAGACACACAGACACAATTCATCGTCGATTCCCAGGAAAATATGGGAAGTGGGGGAGAAGACAAAAACCCAGAACATATCAGAAAATATGGGGGATCTGTTTATTTGTGTGTACTTATTTGTGTGTCCCAGGGCCCCTTCACTCTGGGGCGGCCCTGGGGTGTCCGAAGCCCCAGAGAGCGAAAGTGTTCAAATCAGTCAACACACAAAGTGAACACCTGTGCCTGTTGCCAATTGGGCCCCCTCCTGGGGCCGTCTCCAAGGCCTCTAGGACTCTTTCGGCGGGGCCTCTTGGGCCGTGCTGGGGCCATCTTGGGTCGTCGTGGAGCCTTGTTAGGCCATCCTGACGCCCTCCAGAGCCGTCTCGTGGCCCTGCGATGTTCAACAAGCCCATGAAGCCAACAGCAATGCCTATTTCTGTTGGTCGTTGTACGCTTTGGAGCCCCAGGACGGGTCCGCCATCCTGGGGTCGGAGCATGGGGCGTGGCTCTGGCGGCGGGTTCGGGGCGAAACATTATGAGAAAACAACATGCCAAGCAACGTGATACGAGCGACGGAACACGACGGGCCCGATTGCGCGGACATTGCCGAGAAAGTTGCCCGCGTAAGGTCGCGCGTGAGCGCCCTCGTTCTCCACGCAGTGTGCCGCGCTGGCGGCCCGCGTAAGCCACCGCGTAAAGTCGCTATGCCATCTCGCGTAAGACCCGTTGCTTTTCGCTGCTCGGATGCAGTCGTACGTATGAGTGGACACATGGGACATGTTGAAATAGGGCATGCGCGACATGCCTCCCGCATCACGTTTCTTCGGACGTGGATCTGGCGCCCACACGCCAGATCATCACGGATCCTTAATCCATGGTAGTTTGCCCCTGAGGACTGTCCTCGCAGCCCGAATGGTCAAGTTCGAAAAGGAGAACAGGGCATGCACATAAATGGTCGGCGGTCCCGCGGACCTCCGAAAGTTTATGTCAATGCCCTTGTTGTGTTCCTCCGCAAGTGTTCCTTCCCATCGGATGATTGGACAAAATTATGGGCCATGCAGCAATGCCCAGATCATATATCCGCGCTGGCACAAAGCGTTACCGTGGGGCTCGCCACCGGCCATCTTTGCCGTGATGCTCCCCTCCCCACACTCTGGAGGTAGAAAAGGGTGTGCCATAAAGGGGTGTGGTGCCAACGTCTGAGTCTGGCGATGCCATCTATCGTGGACAGAATCTCGATGTTGCACGATTGGCACCTCACCTCTTTCTGCCACACCCCTCTCCTACCTCCAGACACACCCCACCCCGTACCCCAGCGTCTACAGTCGACGTGCTGAGACAAGGACCGTGTTGGGCTCCGGAGGGGCTCCGCTCCACGGGCCGTTCCCCAACGTCCAGGTGCCCGTTCGTGGCTGGGGCTCCGCGTGGCCAGCGGAGCCCTTTCGTTCCTTCCCTGCGGTCGCACAAAGACTGGCTGCAGTGCGGATCACCCCCCGCGTTAAGACCAGCGAGTCACGGCGCCGTGCGTTGCGTCGCCTTGTTCTGAGCATCCGCCGGCGGCCACTAATTCAGACCCGAAGTTGGGCTCAAGTCGGGTCTCCAGCGGCTTCGGGTCAAGAGATTGTTGGGTGTTGCGCCCTCGTCGAACTGATTGCACCGACTTGCCGCTCACCGTTCGGGCGAAATGGACTCATTCGCGAGGTATGCTTCCTCTCAGTGGATACAAAGTGGCGTCCGCGAGGCCACCAGCAACTTTCGCCACTTCTCCAGCCCGCATAGAGCACGCAGTGGCACCAGTAAGGGTGCTCCTACGACCGCGCCAACGATGGAGGTATTCAATGATTATTTCGAGACGTACGCGGACGCTAAATCATTGCAATTGAGTTTAGATGCGTCGTTGCCAAGTATGTTGTCCACCTTGCAGTCGGTCACCACGGAGTCGCTTGTCCCTTTGCAACCTCGCGGCGGCGAGTCCTGGAATACCGTTGACGAGTTCGACCACCCGCGCGGGCGTCTGCGGGCGGAGACCAGAGGCAGCCACCCATCCGAACACGCTCAGCAGTCAGCCTGGGTTGGACCTGGTGGCGCCTCCTCAGCGGCCGAGGCGCGGCCGCCATCTCAGCCCGGAGGCGTTCCGCTGCTCCACGGCCAGCCGCTGACGCCAGGGCAGGAAGGCATCCCCATATGGAAGTCGAGCGGCGGCGAGTCCTGGAAGACCGTTGACGAGTTCGACCACCCGCGCGGGCGTCTGCGGGCGGAGACCAGAGGCAGCCACCCATCCGAACACGCTCAGCAGTCAGCCTGGGTTGGCCTTGGCGGCGCCCCCTCAGCGGCCGAGGCGCGGCCGCCATCCCAGCCCGGAGGCGTTCCGCTGCTCCACGGCCAGCCGCTGCCGCCAGGGCAGGAAGGCATCCCCATATGGAAGTCGAGCGGCGGCGAGTCCTGGAAGACCGTTGACGAGTTCGACCACCCGCGCGGGCATCTGCAGGCGAAGACCAGAGGCAGCCACCCATCCGAACACGCTCAGCAGTCAGCCTGGGTTGGCCTTGGCGGCGCCCCCTCAGCGGCCGAGGCGCGGCCGCCATCTCAGCCCGGAGGCGTTCCGTTGCTCCACGGCCAGCCGCTGCCGCCAGGGCAGGAAGGCATCCCCATATGGAAGTCGAGCGGCGGCGAGACCTGGACGACCGTTGACGAGTTCGACCACCCGCGTTGGCGTCTGCCAGGCCAGCCACCCTGGCGGCGCCTCCTCAGCGGCCGAGGCGCGGCCGCCATCTCAGCCCGGAGGCGTTCCGCTGCTCCACGGCCAGCCGCACGCCAGGGCAGGAAGGCATCCCCATATGGAAGTCGAGCGGCGGCGAGTCCTGGAAGACCGTTGACGAGTTCGACCACCCGCGCGGGCGTCTGCAGGCGAAGACCAGAGGCAGCCACCCATCCGAACACGCTCAGCAGTCAGCCTGGGTTGGCCTTGGCGGCGCCCCCTCAGCGGCCGAGGCGCGGCCGCCATCTCAGCCCGGAGGCGTTCCGCTGCTCCACGGCCAGCCGCTGCCGCCAGGGCAGGAAGGCATCCCCATATGGAAGTCGAGCATCGGCGAGTCCTGGAATACCGTTGACGAGTTCGACCACCCGCGCGGGCGTCTGCGGGCAGAGACCAGAGGCAGCCACCCATCCGAACACGCTCAGCAGTCAGCCTGGGTTGGCCTTGGCGGCGCCCCCTCAGCGGCCGAGGCGCGGCCGCCATCTCAGCCCGGAGGCGTTCCGCTGCTCCACGGCCAGCCGCTGCCGCCAGGGCAGGAAGGCATCCCCATATGGAAGTCGAGCGGCGGCGAGACCTGGACGACCGTTGACGAGTTCGACCACCCGCGTGGGCGTCTGCCAGGCAGCCACCCATCCGAACACGCTCAGCAGTCAGCCTGGGTTGGACCTGGCGGCGCCTCCTCAGCGGCCGAGGCGCGGCCGCCATCTCAGCCCGGAGGCGTTCCGCTGCTCCACGGCCAGCCGCTGACGCCAGGGCAGGAAGGCATCCCCATATGGAAGTCGAGCGGCGGCGAGTCCTGGAAGACCGTTGACGAGTTCGACCACCCGCGCGGGCGTCTGCAGGCGAAGACCAGAGGCAGCCACCCATCCGAACACGCTCAGCAGTCAGCCTGGGTTGGCCTGGCGGCGCCTCCTCAGCGGCCGAGGCGCGGCCGCCATCTCAGCCCGGAGGCGTTCCGCTGCTCCACGGCCAGCCGCTGCCGCCAGGGCAGGAAGGCATCCCCATATGGAAGTCGAGCGGCGGCGAGTCCTGGAATACCGTTGACGAGTTCGACCACCCGCGCGGGCGTCTGCGGGCAGAGACCAGAGGCAGCCACCCATCCGAACACGCTCAGCAGTCAGCCTGGGTTGGCCTTGGCGGCGCCCCCTCAGCGGCCGAGGCGCGGCCGCCATCCCAGCCCGGAGGCGTTCCGCTGCTCCACGGCCAGCCGCTGCCGCCAGGGCAGGAAGGCATACCCATATGGAAGTCGAGCGGCGGCGAGACTTGGACGACCGTTGACGAGTTCGACCACCCGCGCAGAGGCGCTCCGCTGCTCTACTGCGTGGCGGGGAGGGCGCTGGCGGATGCGCCGAGCAGGCCGCGCGGCATGCCGCGGCGCTCCGCCGCCGAGGCGGGGCTCTCCGCAGGCCCCCTGGGCGAGTGGTCCCTGCCGGCGAGGTCGGCCCACGCCAGGACGGAGCTGGACCGCGCGGCGCGGGCAGGAGCCTCCAGTGGCACGTCTGGGGCCGCTCGGACTAGGGGAACGAACAATGGCATAAACATAAAAATTCGGAGGTCCGCGCGGATTTCTCGGATCCGCGCTGGACCCCCTGGCGGCACCTCCGGCGCCGCCCCTGGCGCGCTCCACTCGCCAGGGAGGGGGGTCAAGCGCCGATCCGAGAAATCCGCGCGGACCTCTGAGTTTTTATGTTTATGTCATCGCTCGTCCTTCTGAGGACGTTGAATAGCATGCGGGCCCGGTTTTTGGAGCAGGAGCAGCTGCTGGCCGAGGCCGAGCAGCAGGCCCAAGAGGTCACGCGGAAGATTTGGGAGCAGGAGGCCGACCTGCTGGAGCTGGAGGCTCAGCAGGGCGAGCTCGCGGCCAGCGTGCCAGCGCCGAGCGAGGAGGCAGTGCCCGCCACCCCCGGCGCTCCAGCCGTCACCACGGTCATGGTCAGCAACATTCCGATGGCTGTGGCGCAGAGTGACCTCCTGGCCCTCATCGATCAGGCGGGCTTCGCGAACAGGTACGACTACGCGTACATGCCGATCACTTTCGAGGCTGGGACTACAAAGGGGATCGCGTTTGTGAACTTCGCCACCCCAAGGGACGCCCGCGAGTTCTCGCAGCAGTGGAACGGAGCGCGGCTAACTGCAGCTGCCGGAGCTAACACGAATGGGGCCGTGATCGAGGTCAGAGCGTCGGCGCTGCAGGGCTACGTAGAGAACACCAGAAGGTGGACTGCGCGCCGGCTGCGCCGCATGAAGAACCCCGAGTTCCACCCTTTCATCGCCCCGAGACCAGCTGCCTGGTAAACGCTCGGCTGATAGTGTCACCATGATGGCGGCCGTGCCTTTTTGAATGAATAATTATCTTGGTGCCGCATGAGCGCAAATCTTGACAGAGTGGCAGTTGAGGGTGGATCCCCTCTCCAGTCGAGAAGCTCGGGGGAGAGCATGGCGTTTTTTTTTCCCGAGCCCAAAAGTCGCAATCACGCTGGGCATCGGTGGGCGCACGGTCAGGTCACATCAACAGGTCCACCGTGCAGCCGTACCGTTTTTTTTTGCGAGCAGGGTGAGATACATCCATCTCTGGCCCCGCATCATCCTTGCTCCAGTGTAGTGGTTCCTAATGGTCTTAGTCGGCGCCTGCTGCTCATGGTTCTTCAGTTAGTGTGTGCAAGGCAACGCGTGGGGCGAGTCACCTCCACCGCGCTGGCACCCGTCATTGAGTTTCCTTCTTGTCGCAGCGTGGAACAGTTCCACCGCGAAGCCGTACCAGTTTTTGTTGCGAGCAGGGTGAGATACAGCCATATCTCTAGCAACAGAGTTTGAAACGGAGGGCGGGGGGGTGGAGGGAGGGGGGCGAGGGGAATACGGTGGTTGGAAGAGGAAGCTCGCTGAGCCACTCACGCCCAGAAGTATGGTGGAATGTTGTACGGTCTGCGATGGGCTTGTTTCGGTCAGGTCCGATGAGTCGTCCAGAACCATTACAAACACGAAGCGTTCGTCTGAGCGGCCATATATGTTTCTGTGGCTTGTGCATGGCTCGAGCGGCATATTCGGACAAGACTTTCCCCTCTCCTCCCTCCCCGCTTCTCCTCTGCCTCCTCTGCCTCCTCTGCCTGGCCCCGCATCATCCTTGCTCCAGTGTAGTGGTTCCTAATGGTCTTAGTCGGCGCCTGCTGCTCATGGTTCTTCAGTTAGTGTGTGCAAGGCAACGCGTGGGGCGAGTCACCTCCACCGCGCTGGCACCCGTCATTGAGTTTCCTTCTTGTCGCAGCGTGGAACAGTTCCACCGCGAAGCCGTACCAGTTTTTGTTGCGAGCAGGGTGAGATACAGCCATATCTCTAGCAACAGAGTTTGAAACGGAGGGCGGGGGGGTGGAGGGAGGGGGGCGAGGGGAATACGGTGGTTGGTTGGAAGAGGAAGCTCGCTGAGCCACTCACGCCCAGAAGTATGGTGGAATGTTGTACGGTCTGCGATGGGCTTGTTTCGGTCAGGTCCGATGCGTTGCCCAGAACCATTCTGAACCAGAAGCGTTCGTCTGAGCGGCCATATATGTTTCTGTGGCTTGTGCGTGGCTCGAGCGGCAGATTTGGACAAGACTTTCCCCTCTCCTCCCTCCCCGCTTCTCCTCTGCCTCCTCTGCCTCCTCTGCCTGGCCCCGCATCATCCTTGCTCCAGTGTAGTGGTTCCTAATGGTCTTAGTCGGCGCCTGCTGCTCATGGTTCTTCAGTTAGTGTGTGCAAGGCAACGCGTGGGGCGAGTCACCTCCACCGCGCTGGCACCCGTCATTGAGTTTCCTTCTTGTCGCAGCGTGGAGCAGTTCCACCGTGCCAGCAACCAGTACCAGCTTGAATGGCGCGCAGGGTGAAATACACCCATCTCTCCAGCAACAGAGTTTGATCCGCGTGGAATGCGCCCATTGTGTCCCATCAAACGGAGGGCGGGGGGGGGGAGGGGGACGAGGGGAATACGGTGGTTGGAAGAGGAAGCTCGCTGAGCCACTCACGCCCAGAAGTATGGTGGAATGTTGTACGGTCTGCGATGGGCTTGTTTCGGTCAGGTCCGATGAGCTGCCCAGAACCATTACAAACACGAAGCGTTCGTCTGGGGCTTGTGCATAGCTCCAGCTACAGGTTTGGACAAGACTTTCCCCTCCCCTCCCTCCCCGCCTCTCCTCTTCTCCTCTGCCTCCTCTGCCTGGCCTCGCCTCGTCTTCCTTGCTCCAGTGAAGTAGCTCCTAGTGTTCTAGTCGGCGCCTGCTGCTCATGGCTCTTCAGTTGTTGTGTACAAGGCAACGAGTGGGGCGAGTCACCTCCACCGTGCTGGCACCCGTCATTGGGTTTCATGCAGATATTCGAGGGGTTTCGAACGAGGATAATGAGTATTGCATGCATGCACGTTTGTGTGTTTGGCCGAAGCCATTTTGTGATCGAGTTCGCCCAGGCCTGAGGTGAAAAGGATCAGGCCCCACCTAGCATAAAGCTTAACATGGTAGCGTGAGCGTGTTCAGACGCAGCCAAGGCTGCGCGATGGAGGCAGCGTTGCAAGAGCTGCAGCGGATTGTTGGAGAGCAGGCGGCCCAGATCCAGAGGCTGACCGAGAGACCAGAATCTCAAGCTGAGGACCGACGGCTTGAGAGCATTGTTGACACGAAGATCCTGAGCAGGATAGGAGTCTTCTCAGGCTCAGATGAAGAATGGAGGCAGTGGTTTTTCGTGTTCGAGTCAACGGCAGGGCTCGTCGACCTAGAGCAGATCATGACCCACTGCGAGAACACGGACGAGACGGAGCTAGGCTGGGCAACTCAACCGGAGAGAGTCCAATTGAGGATGAAGGTGCTGTATCACTTGCTGATCGCTACGACGAGAGGCAAGGCCCTCACGATCCTCCAGATGGTGCCAAAGAACAACGGTGCCATAGGTTGGAAGAGGCTCAAGGACGAGTGCGAACCGAAGTCGGGCGGACGACTGACGGCGATGCTGATGGGAGTGATCAAGCCAGAGTGGGAGACGGCCATCAGAGGCGGCATCCGCATGTGGGAAGCTGCCTGGAAGGAGTGGGAGAAGAGTGTTTCGCTCTACGAGGCCCAGTCCCTGGAGAGAGTCACGGAAGGCACGAGGATTGCTGTCGTGGTCAGGTGGGCTCCAGAGGACGTGAAGGCCGTGGTCCGCCAAGCCCTGGGGGCGATCGGCCAGGACTACAACAAGCTGGCCAAGGTCGTCACGGACTACATCGCCAGTGGCAAGGTCTACGAGACCACGGGAGCACCCCACGGCATCCAGCACGACGGACCCATGCCCATGGACGTCGGCATGGTGAACGAGAATGGAGACGTTGGCGGCATCTTCAAGCCACCGAAGGGGTACGGCAAGCAGTCGAGGAAGGACGCTGGCAAGGGTCGGGGCTCAGATCGCGACACCTGCAAGAATTGTGGCAAACGAGGCCATTGGTCAAGGGATTGCTGGGCCCCAGGAGGTGGAGCAGCCAACCAGACAAAAGGCAAAGGCAAGGACGCGAAAGGCGGAAAAGGAGGTAAAGAGAAGAAGAAGTGCGACAAGTGTGGGAAGCCAGGTCATGAGGCCACGGATTGCAGGTCACGCATCAAGTGCGATAAGTGCGGGAAGATGGGCCACAAAACTTCAGAGTGCAGGTCGAAGCCAGAGAATGCTGATGTCAAGAGGATAGCCAACGAGCAGGACGAGCTGTGGGTCATGGGAGTCACCGAGAGCGTGAACACCACCAACGACGACAGCAAGTACGTGTGGGTCTCGATTGATAGCGGGTCGGACGCTGACGGGTGCCCCCTCGGCTTTGGTCACTCGAGCGACGACGTCGAGGATCCCACCGAGGTGGAGCTGAGGACGGCCACCAACGACGAGATCCAGGACTACGGCGAGCGGAACGTCGGCATCGCGTTTCTGGGCGAGACTGGCCACGAGGTGATGGCCACGAACCGATTTCGCATCGGCGACTTCAGCAAGCCCGCGCTCAGCTGTGGCATCAGAGTCATGAGAGGAGCAGTCATTCACTTGGAGACGGGGAACAGCTACATGGCCCCGCCGAGCGGGAACGGCGCCCAGAGGAAGATACCCCTGACAATGGCCGGGAAGACCTTCTACGCGAGGTGTCGGGTGCTGGAGGCGGGTGCTCACAGGCATCGAGTGGCACCTGTGATCGATCAAGCGGCTCATGAGCAAGAGCCAGCGCCAGGACCACCACCAGAACCTCAAGTTGCACCTGCACCACCAGAACCTCAAGCTGCACCTGCACCGCCCGAACCTCAAGCCGTACCTGCACCACCTCCACAAGCAGGACAGCCACGAGAGATCCTGGGCTCCCAGTCGTCAGTCGAGGCATTGAGAGCTCGCCTGAAGGAGCTCAGGAGGCTTGGGATTATCGATGCGGCCATCTACGGCACCAAGAGGCAGCTGTGGGAGAGGCTCGTCAAGTGCGAGCACCAGCTAGATGAGAAGATGAAGGTCACGGAGGCCCTCGAGGAGCGTCAACGGCGACTCCAAGAAGGCGTCGATCCCGAAGTACCGAGGACACTGAAGATCCCAGAGAGGCCTGACGCGGAGACCGTACGGCAGCACGAGCTTACTCACGCGAAGTTCGAGCCCTGGTGCCTGGAGTGCGTGTTCGGAAAGGGAGATGCCGCACCCCATCGGGGAGTTCAGTTTCTTACGGACAAGGAGCCAGAGGTGCCCGTCGTGCAGATCGACTACCATTTCTTGAAGGACGATGGCGAGGAGACCGAGGACGCGGCCAACCGCTTCTCCACCACGCTGGCCGTCATCGACTGCGACACGGGTGTTCCTCTACAGCTCAGCCTCCCAGAGAAGGGAGGCAACCGCGACTACATTGTGACCTCGATCGTGGGTTTCCTCAGGAGGCTGGGCGCCACTCAGCTCAGGCTCAGGAGTGACGGAGAGCCGAGCATTGTCAGCATAGCAAATGCGGTGGCGGCCAAGAGACTCAAGTTCGATGGCTACAAGGTCACAGTGGAGCAGACCCCCCAGGTACTCATCGCAGTCGCTCGGAGCCGTAGGGGCGCAGCAGAAGATCTTGCAGGGCCAGACCAGAACGATCCGAGCTGCAACAGAGAAGATGCTGGGCATCAAGATAGGGCCAGGTCATGTTCTGTGGCCGTGGCTTGTTAGACACATAGGCTTCATCGCGGAGATGTTCCACGTCAAGTCAAACGGACGGACTCCTCATCAAGATGCTACTGGCACCACATACCATGGCGTCGTCCTGAAGTTCGCAGAGGCCGCCATGTTCAAGCATCCGATGTCGTCGAGTGGCCGCATGGCAGGAGGCAGACGCAGTCGCAAGTCCAAGCCGACGTGGGAGAAGGGCGTCTTCCTGGGCAAGACCTACGAGAGCGACGAGTTCCTCATGGGTACGAGCAGCGGGGTGCACTTTGTCAGGACTGCGCGCAGGCTCCCAGAGGAGGACCAATGCGACCTAGAGCTCGTGGCCAAGGTAGTTGGGGTCCCCTGGGACCGAGGCATCGGCCAGATTGGAAGGCCGAAAGGCAAGAGGGTGGCCATTCTCCCGACTGCCCCACCTGAGAAGAAGCAAGAGGAGACTGAGGTCGACGATACCAAGGAGGAGAAGGGAGTTCCAGACCCCACGGTGGAGAGAGGAGTTGCCGAGGACGGGAACAGCTACGCGAGTGCCAGGAGTAGGACAGGCAGCGGCTACATGGACGACGTGGCGCTCCCCACACCGAGGCAAGATGCAGGCGGAAGCTCGCCGTCACGTCCTGCCCAGCCCACTGGGGAGTCGGAGGTCCCAGAGGTTGAGATGGGCACCGTCGGAGGCGTCGACGGCTTCGTGATGGACGAGATCGACCCGATGCCCGTCATGGATCCAGAGATGGACATCGACTGGCACGAGGGAGAGTATGACGTGGACCTCACCAAGGCAGGCAAGTGCAAGGATATCAACACGATGCAGGAGTTTGGAGTGTTTGGGGCGGTGTCGCCTGATGAGATAGATTCCACGTGGACAAGGTTGTCAACCAAGTGGGTGTACCAGGAGAAGGGTGAAGAGATTCGCTGTCGCTTCGTTGCCAGGGAGTTCAAGAGCATGGACCCCAAGCGCGAGGGGCTATTCACGCCGGCCAGCGAACCCACGACTGGCAGGCTCATTGACTTCAAGGCGGTGAAGCGAGACCAGCCCACCGTCATCGTCGACGCTGTCAATGCCTACTTCCACGCTGAACAAGACAGGCTCGTGGCGGTGGTGCCGCCTCGGGAGTGGATCGAGGCCGAGGCGATCAAGGGCAATACTACGAGGACGATGTGGAGGATGAAGAAGAAGCTCTATGGCGAGAGGGACGCGAGCAGGGGCTTCAGTGACTTCATGAACCGCACCCTCGTCTCAGAGATGGAGTTTGAACAATGTCCTGATCAGCCATGCTTCTACCGCCGAGAGCGGGATTCAGTGGACCTGGAGCTTCATCAGGATGACATCTACGCGACAGCTGGTGACAGCAAGCTCCAAGCGTTCGCGACGGAGCTCAGCAGCCAGGTTAAGATCAAGGTGAGCAAGCTACTCAAGGTAGGTGCGAAGTACCAACATCTGAAAGGAGGGCGAGTGAGAGTCGAGGACGGCATGTTCTTGACGGGCAACAGGAAGTACGCGGACAAGATCGTGGAACTGCTGAACCTCGGCAAGGCGAAGGGCTCGCCCACGCCAATTGTGACGAAGCTACTGCAGGAGGACTTCGAGCATCCGCTGAACGCCGAGGAGACCAGTCTCTACCGGCAGCGCGTGGGCATCGCAAGGTACATGGTCAACTATGTCACGGAGGTCACGTTCGCTGTCCACGTGCTGAGCAAGAGGTTGGCCACGCCCACCGACAACGACATGAAGAGGCTCAAGCATCTCGGCAGGTACCTAATTGGAGTTCGAGACTACGCACTGTTCGTTCCCAGAGCTGGAGAGACAGAGATTTTGGAGTGCTACGCTGATTCAGATTGGGCTGGAGACACCATCGACAGAAAGAGTATTTCTTGTGGGGCGTTGCGCTGCGGTGGCTGCACGCTTCTCGAGTACTCGCGCGGTCAATGTGCCCAAGCGCTGAGCTCAGGAGAAGCCGAGTATCACGCATCGGCGACAGCAGCCGCCGAGGCAATCCACCTCCAGAGTGTGATGGGTTTCCTGGACATGGACGTGAAGATCAGGATCCGCATAGACTCCTCAGCGGGCACGGCGGTCTGCCACCGCGTTGGAGTGGGAAGGATCCGCCACCTTGAGGTCCGCACCCTGTGGCTCCAAGCCAAGGTGCGAGACAAGAAGCTGGTGGTGATCAAGCAGGCTGGGGAGACCAACCTGGCCGACGTGGGTACCAAGGCGCTGACGAGTCAGAGGTTCCACTGGCTGAGAGCACAGCTGGGACGACGGCCGTTGGCTGGCGCGGATGACATAGAGGAGAGCGCGGCTGTTCGGGTCAACATCGCGAGCGACACAACGTCCAAGATGGCGAGGGTCGGCGCGGCCCTGATCGCTCTCCTGGACAGCCTGGGCTCGGTGAAAGCGGACGGTGAGTGCGACGTCTACGGCTACAAGAAGGACAGGAAGGAGATCTCCCTGCAGGACACCCGTCAAGAGACTGGCGTGCACCTCCAGGGCATGATGCTCATCATGGTCATGATCACTATCATGATCGTAGCATGCGCAGTCGGTGGCTGTGCGGGCTGGTGCATCGGCTATTTCATGAGGCCGAGTTGCACGAGCGAGAGCAGGCAGGAGAAAGAGAAGGTAGAGCTCAACCAGAGGGCCATCAAGACCAAGAAGCTGAAGGTCGAGTACAGGACCGTCTCGACCCAGAGCCAGGTGACGTACTCCTGGCATCGGGAGAGTCCGAGGTTTACACCACTGGGAGAGAGAGCTCAGGGGGCCTGGGCTGAGTGAGGTGAGTGAAGTGAGTGAGTAGAATGATTTGATGCGGTATCCCGCTGGAGAGTCGAGAGGACCCCAGCGGAAGGGCTTGAGCGACACCGCAGCAGCGTGTTTTGCCTGCGGCTCGCAGGACCAGGTTTTCCTTGATTTTGTGCACTGTTTCCTCGTTGAGCGGTCTGATCAGCCGCCTCGTTGAGCCTCTGACATCGCCCTCAGGGGGCGTGCAGATATTCGAGGGGTTTCGAGCGAGGATAATGAGTATTGCATGCATGCACGTTTGTGTGTTTGGCCGAAGCCATTTTGTGATCGAGTTAGCCCAGGCCTGAGGTGAAAAGGATCAGGCCCCACCTAGCATAAAGCTTAACATTTCATGCTTTTCGCAGCGTGGAGCAGTTCCACCGTGCCAGCAACCAGTGCCAGTTTGAATGGCGCGCAGGGTGAAATACATCCATCTCTCCAGCAACAGAGTTTGATCCGCGTGGAATGCGCCCATTGTGTCCCATCAAACGGAGGGCGGGGGGGGTGGAGGGAGGGGGACGATTGGAATACGGTGGTTGGAAGAGGAAGCTCGCTGAGCCACTCACGCCCAGAAGTATGGTGGAATGTTGTACGGTCTGCGATGGGCTTGTTTCGGTCAGGCCCGATGCGTTGCCCAGAACCATTTCAAACACGAAGCGTTCGTCTGAGCGGCCATTATTATGTGACTTGTGCGTGGCTCGCGCGGCATATTCGGACACAACTTTCCCCTCTCCTCCCTTCCCGCTTCTCCTCTGCCTCCTCTGCCTCCTCTGCCCGGCCCCGCATCATCCTTGCCCCAGTGTAGTGGTTCCTGATGTTCTAGTCGGCGCCTGCTGCTCATGGTTCTTCAGTTGTTGTGTGCAAGGCAACGAGTGGGGCCAGATATTATGCTGGGGCCTGTGCGTGGCTCCAGCGGCAGATTCGGGCAACAAGCGCGCAGCTGCAGTGCCCGTGCGACGCCACCGAAGCGGCGGCGCGCGCGGGCAGACGTCTTAGAGCGTGTGCTCGGTGGCGGGCGTTTTCGGTGCATACCGGTAGGGCAACGACGCACTGTCATACGTCGGACCAGCGGGGGGCACTGCTCGATCGATTTCGTCGGCGCTGCCCGCGGCCCCGGGAGCTCTCCCTCTCTGCCCGCGGCCTCTCGGCGGCCGCTCCGCTCCGCTCCTCCGCGGGCGGCGGCCTCGGCGGGCGCCCCCGGTGGGCCTCGGCGGCCTCCGCCGGCGCGGAGAGCACAGGCAGCGTGGCTTGGCATCGTTCGGACGTGCGCATTTTTCCTTCGGCGAGGACCATCGAGGAGCATCAGCGATCGTTTGGCGAGAAAGCCATGCACGAGACCGAAAGCGGCACAGGGAATGGACGTCCGAGCGATGGCCAGTTGTGCTGCAGAGACTGTTTGGGCGCACGCCTCCAAGGAGGGCATAGTTCTAGCAGGTCCGTCTGCGTCCCATGTCGCGGCCGCCTCCATACTGCTCGGTGCCACGCCAGCATCGATCGTGGTTCACCCGACTTCGGCGCGCGCAGCGGTGTTTCTACCGTCAATCCTGATCCTCCCTACGAGCGTCCACTCAGCCTTCAAACCTGCATGCCACCCAGACCAAGTTGTTAATCCCGGTGCCAGCATTCCGCCAGGGTCATAGCTGCGAGATGTTGGGTCGGGACCCCAGCTCGAACGGAATCCCTCCTGGGCTCCGACACTTCGCATTCATACACTTGCAACGCCGTCATTGGCGTGCCCTTCCCTCGTGCTCCCCCCTACAGGTTGAGCGTGCGTTGTTCTTTCATCACCCCTCCCCTCTCTTCCTCCTGCTCCTCTCCAAGGCGGGGATTCATCCATGACCACCGCCTGGTGTATCCGCAGTGAACATTCGCGTGGGGACATGAGGGAATTTGGAGGGAGGCTTTACTGCAGCGTCGTTGGTAGTTTTTGGGTTTGCTCTGGTCCTCCTCCTCCTGATCCTCCTCATCCTCCTCCTCATCCTCCTCCTCCCCTTCGCCCTCCCTGTCCCAATCTCCCTCCCCCTCCCCCTCCTCCTCCTCCTCCTCCTCCTCCTCCTCCTCCTCCTCCTCCTCCTCCTCCTCCTCCTCCTCCTCCTCCTCCTACATCGAGGCGCTCTTTGCTGCGCCTCGAGCTACGACGTGTCGACCTTCGCAGGTTGAGAAGGGGTCCACCATCGACTACTTCATGCTGAGTGCCAACCTGGCGCCCCGTGTGCGGGAACCTTGGGTGCAGGAGGACGGGACCACATCCACACATATTCCTGTTCATCTAGAGCTGGCAACAGACGACCTCGACCTCAAGATTCGGGTGCCTGTCATGCCGTTCGCCATTCCCGCTGTACCTCCTGTTGGTTGTGCTCGAGGGGTCGAGGACTGGGGCCCTGCGCTTGCTGCTGTGCGTGCTGCTGCGGACGCCCAGGGCTTGCCTCCTGGTTGGGATCAGGTCCTATCCACGGTGGAGTCGGAGCTGCTGGACAGGTACGACACTGTGGGCGCTCGCAGGAGACTTCACACTGGACGTGCTGGCGGGATCGAAACTACGCTTAAGTCGGTCAAGTGGGTTCCACCTGCTCGCAGAGTGCGCCTGGGAAGAGAAGCGCAGGCGATGAAGGTTGCGGCCAGGTGGGCGCGACATCTCATGGGGGGTTGTGCATTTCTTCACAAGGAGCTTCTTCTCCGACGCAGAGCTGAACTCACGTGTGCGTTGGCACCGCAGAGTTTCAGTAAGGTTGCGACTTCCTTGCTGGAAGCGAAGGCGTATTTGGATAAGATATGTTCGCACACTACAGGTCCATCCCACCTGACCAGCGAAGAGCAGGCCTTCTTCAGAGGGGGCATCTGCGCGCTCTGCAGGGATGACTTTGAGGTGGTGGCCAGCAGAATTGTCGAGCGCTGCAAGAAGAGGTATGGCAAGCTGGTAGAGGTCAGGCAGGCAGCTTGGGTCAGCTTCGCGAAGGGCAGTTTCGCGCGGGGGTCCAGCAGGGCCCATCGCATCACCAAGACCAAGGAGCTGCAGTCTGTGCTGGCCAGTTGGGATGATCGCAACACTACCGCGTCCCCTCACCGAGTTTGTGTTCGCGAGATGGTTCCATGGGTTAAGATATGGCACTGTCACGATCTGCAACAACTGGAGATGCCAGGGGATGCCGCCCAGTGGCCTGTCTGTCCTGCCACCACGGTCAGCATGCTGAGGCATGCGATTTCTTCTTTCTCGGCGTCCACGGCAACAGGTCCTGGCAGGATTGGAGTGCGTGCTTTCATCATGTTGTCAGACGAAGGTATGTATGTTCTTGCGGCGTTGTTCGGGCGGTGCGACGGGCTCCTCGCCTGGCCTGGTGCACGGGTTTGGCGCGAGATGGTGAGGCTTCCGAAGCCTAGTGGGGCGCATCCCAGTGCTGATATGTGGGGGCTGGGCTCGGGGCACACATCTTCAGGCTCTGCTGTCCAACTTACTTTGGAGGCTGAGATCGCGGAGGCCACCCAGCAGAAGTCCCTCACTGTCCTCATGGGCGCTTTCAAGTTCTTTGAGGCGATCAAGCCGATGGCGCTGCTCAACGAGGCGAGGGCTGTTGGCATGGACCTCAGACTGGTGTGGATGCTGCTTGAGTTGCATCGGCAATCGCGTCGGTTGCGAGCGTTTGGGTCAGTATCAGAGCAGGCTATCGCGTGGCAATGCATATTGGCGGATTGCTCTCACGCGTGCTTTTTGGTTTCGGTGCTGCTCCACAGGCTGCTGGCTGGTGTTCGGTCTTCGTCGGTCATACCTCGGGCCCTGATCGATGACATCAGCCTGCAGTGGGTTGCGCCGTCTCTCCAGCAGCTGGAGCCCTTTTGGAAGGTAGTCACACGATTCCGAGAGGGTGCCAGAAGCTTGGGCACCATCATTCAGGTCGAGAAGTCGGGTTACGTTCCTTCCAGCACTTCTGGGGCTCTGGCGTGCAACAAACATTGCGGGGCTAAGGGCATCAGGTGCAAGATCTGGATCCGCAACCGTGGGCACGACCTATGTGGGGCGCGCAAGGTTAGGCGGCCCACTTCGCAGCGTATTGCTGGGATCTTTGCCCGACGCCGTCGCTTGCAGATGCTCCAGAAGGTCACTGGCCAGAAGGTCGTGAGCTTGTGGAAAACTGGGCTTCTCCCCAGCGCGGGCCATGGAGCTGATGTGTCTGGCCTCTCGGACACACACCTCCAGCATATTCGGGCTGGGGCAGGCCGCCTCGTCGGAGCGCGCGCGGGCTCTTCCAGCCTCACGCTGCACCTTGCGACGCAGAAGGCAAAAGGAATTCGACCCGATCTATATGGCCTCGCGCGACATCATCTGCAGGTACGCCGCCGCCGTCTGGGGGCAGAGGGCGTCGCTGAGCAAGCTGCGCAATGCCTGGGCGCACATCGCCACCCAGATGGTGAGGCAAAAAAAGGCGACGTGGGCCTATTCGAGAGGTCAGATCTCGGCGGCTATCCTCACCCTGTGGCGCATAGATTGGTATATGCACTCGCCGACGGTGCTGGTCAACGACAGGGACGAGACGTTCAATCTCATGGCCATCAGCCCTAGAGACCTCAGATGCCACCTGGTCGAGTCGATCGAGCGATGGCAAGGGGGGCGCATCATGTCTCGGTTCGAGCATCCGTTGGGCGAGAATGCTGTTCTGCGGGTGCGGGCCCTACGGCAGTGTCTTGGGGCAAAGTCGGCGGCGGTCTCGGAAGGCCCAACGCCATCCAGTTTGCGCGCGCACTGGGCTGGTGTTCCCTGGACCCGACAGGCCAAGTACGACATGAAGCTGGCAGGCTCGACGTCTTGCGCGGCGCGTGGTGCGCCGAGCGATTCACCTGGGCACAGGTTCTTCGGTTGCGAGGAGGTGTTGGCCCCAGCGGACGACACTGAGGTCGCGGGAGAGGTTGTGCCCGACAAGTTCGTGGAGATCCGTGGCTTCATGCATG